CCTACAGCTCTCCCACCTAGAAGTGGAGATCCATGCAAATAAATCACACCCATATGGAATGCCAATAGAGTAAACACTGCAGTAGGGGCTCAGGAGAAGCTGTGGGCACCGGCAGGCCCAGAGGAGGGGTAAACCAGTGCACCCATAACCTAACCTGTCTTTCCCAATGAAACCTGATGGGAACTCACAATACGAGGAAATGAAACCCAATGAGGATTCAGAACAATCTCCTCATGCTCTACGTGGGTCAGCTGAACCAATGTTTCTGTCATTGTAAATTCTGCTTGGTGTTTCACACAAGCCCTTGCAGGAAATACAAACATCTCAGAGGGATGTTCTTGCGGGAAATTATGGTAGTTTCTTTTATATGTTACAAAAGACAGAAAATCAAAGTACCTAAAACAGGATTTAAGAGTAAGATGATGATTACGAGACACATGGAAAATGGCAAATTACTGTTATTTCTAAAATACGTTGGTCGCACACATTTTTTTTGTTAATTTCCAAACCCATGAGAATTGTAAGAAAAATCAAATCCATATGGTTCTGACTTAGGTACACTCATTTTTCAACAACTTGGACAAATAACGGAGTGTTCAAAACCTATTTTTTTTTTTTAAGAGAGGGACACCATTTAACAGCCAGAATCTAACTTACAACAGACTGAAATTTAACCAAATATGCTCAACCTGTAGGGTCTAAAGAACCCTGGAGGGGCAGAGATAAGTTCTCGCACACCATGGGACATGACTGGTTTCATCCTGGAATAACACACATATGCCAGAGCTAACCAGCTCCCACTCAACCCGAGAACGTAGTGAGATCATATCTACTAGTCCAGTTTCCGTGGATCTAATATTTCATTTTGGGTTTTCTGGCCTAATGGCATGGAAATTCTGCAGAGCTAACAATTTTCAGAGAGAAAAAACAGTTAAGCCGTTGTACTTATGGAGAAGACAGAGCTAAGAATGACGACAAACATTCCCGGGGCTCTGCCTTTGGTGGGCAGCGGCCCGCCTCTGCTGTACGTGTGCGCACACGCGTGAGGATGTGCACAAGTGCATGTGCGTGACACAGACAAATACATGAATGGGAAGACCAGGGGTCCCAGTAAGTTAAAGACGTTAAACAGGACAAAGAAGCCCCAGTTTTGCGCAGACAAAATAGGGATTGGCTAGATGCCCTGTTTTTCAGGAGAATTTGTTTGCAAAAACATTTAGAAAAATAAACGAGCAAACCCAGAAATCAACCAAATAAAACTCTGAATTCCTCCAAAGACAGGGATGCAACACCGTGAGGTGATAGAGAAAAACAACTCCGCACAGTCACCAAACTCCTAAGCACTTAATTAAGTGCAGTTTTTAATACCGACAGATTTCACGATCAAGGGAGGCTCAATAATCACCCTGTTTAATGTTCGTTTCAATCTGAAGAGCTACGTAGTGACCACCCTGGCAGTCCACCGAGGTCTTCATCAGGCTCCAACTTAAGAGCAGAGAGTTCAGGCCTCAAAGGAAAACTCCCCTGGGCAGCAGAGAGATTTAGTGATCTGGCCAGGAAGGAGTTTCTCCCTCTATTATTAGAGAGAGCTTTACAGAAATCCTACTGACCAATGTACTGCAAGAGTTCCTTGGGTGTTCTTGGACCTGAACTCCTAGATCCAACAAGAACACCTAGCAAAAAAAAAAAAAAAAAAATCAAATCAAACATACCAGACTCTACTTTCCCCTTCCCTCCAATGTCTCCATTGGTCAAGGTGTTTGTCAGGGGCTTGGCGACTTAGCCTTAGCTCGCTGGCTTGTGTTACTCAGAGAAGTCACTACTATTTGGTCTGCAGTCTTGCTTTCTCTTAGCCACGGGCTAGAATCTCAAAAGATTCATTTGAAAAGGATGGCTGCTTTTGTGTGTGCAATGCTTATAATTATGATTACTAAGCATTTAAAAAGCATTCCAGGGGCGCCTGGGTGGCTCAGTCAGTTGGGTGTCCGACTTCGACTCAGGTCATGATCTCACAGTTCGTGGGTTCGAGCCCCACGTCGGGCTCGGTGCTGACAGCTCGGCGCCTGGAGCCCGCTTCGGATTCTGCGTCTCCCTTTCTCTCTGCCTTTCCCCTGCTCGCATTCTGTCTCTCTCTCTCTCAAAAATAAAACATTAAAAAAAAAACTTAAGAAGTATTCCAATAATAGAGCTTCTAAAACAATACACGGATAATGGAACACATTAATAACGATGAGGAGGGGTAGTAATTCATGCCTGCCATTCTGTGCTCACATGCTGAAGCCTGCCAGGGGGCAGTGCCCATCACCAGCCTTCTGGGCATGTCTGCCCCTACTGTTACACCTGCTCATTTAGCGAGGGGCCGCAGCATGAGATGACTCAACATGCTCAAACCATTCCTCATTATCTAATCCCAACATGCTACTCCTGCTTTTTACTGGTAAAGGGTGACCATCCATCTTATTCCTCAGTCACCCCTTTCTCTCACGCTCTCACTGCCATTACTCAATTGGTCACCGAATCCTACTAATTTCGTCACTTGCTTCTCTCTCCTCTACCCTCCATCACTATTTCTGTTTTAGTTCAGGACCTCTTGTCTAGATCCTAAAATACCTGGAAATTAGTCTTCTTACCTCTAGGTTAGTCCTTCGTGAATTTCTCCTTTACTGTGCCTCCCTAACTAGCTTCCAAAATATAATAAGCCTTGCAAACAGTGAAATCATAAACACATCTAAAGAAAACACAGGTGAATATTTTTATAATCTTGGTGAGCGACAACCATCTCTAAACATGATATAACACCTTGATGGCATAAATAAGGTTACTTAAAAAAATCTCCTGTAGGGGCGCCTGGGTGGCGCAGTCGGTTAAGCGTCAGACTTCAGCCGGGTCACGATCTCGCGGTCGGTGAGTTTGAGCCCTGCGTCAGGCTCTGGGCTGATGGCTCGGAGCCTGGAGCCTGTTTCCGATTCTGTGTCTCCCTCTCTCTCTGCCCCTCCCCCGTTCATGCTCTGTCTCTCTCTGTCCCAAAAATAAATAAAAAAAACGTTGAAAAAAAAATTTTTTTTTAAAAATCTCCTGTAACATAAAGAACACTGTAATCGAAGATTAAAAAACAACTGAGGAAAATATCGGCAACATGTAGAGTATGCTAATTTCCTTAGTTTACAAAGAGTTCTTACAACTCACTAAGAAAAAAAAAAAAACCTACCTGCAAATTTGAAATAACATCTCAAGTCCATCTCTTGCCACACCAGGAGAGGAAAAGCTAACGCAAATAATTATAAAGCTGTGATAAAGGCACAAGTGTCCTATAAAGAGTAGGCTTTGAAAACTTTGTTAGATATCACTGGTAACAAACCTGCTTCAAATGCCCTGATTCAATTACATTACACATCAACACTGAGATACCTTTAAGCAGTTGAAAAATGTCTCTGGACGCTCTTGTTTATGCCTTTGGAACACAGTGGAGCATGTTTGCACAGAACAAATCATTCCCTGTAAAGCTAGAGGCCCTCTTTGCCTGTGTTATTAATGTCTTAGCTTTCAGCCAGGAGGTTCAAGTCTTCAGGAACATTTCTCAGCTCACACAGCACCAAATCTTATTATTCCATCAGCACAGTCTGGGCTGGGAGGCTGGAGCTTAATGCCCATCAGATGAAACTAATTGGCTTTTCCATTTTCACTTAAACTATGTGACAAAATAATATCCCCTGACAAGAAGGCAGGGTACCAGCAGGGTGACATTGCTCACGTGACTGCCAAAGACACGCACTCCACCTAGGCACACGGTCATCCAAAAGCAAGGTGTTACAATCCTAAACGCAAATAGTACAGGTGACTTTTTTTTTTTTTTTTCTTTAACGAAAGCTCAGATGAGAGATGGACTGCACCCATTAGAAGAAATAATATTTGTTAGGAGAGCGAGTAATTCAAGATGCTGACATAGTTTTTTTTTTTTTTTTTTATGTAAATCTGGAACACAAGCCAATTCACCTATTGCCAGACACCCAAGGAATCAGAGGCAAAATCCCTTGACGGGGTTAAGTGTCCATTTCCCAAAACAGAATTAAAAAACTGAAGCTGAGACAAATAAATGGAGTGGTCCCAAGAGTAAATTTGGGGGAAACAACGGAAATTGAACCCAACCAAAGAGTACTGGGAATTAGAAAATTGAACCAACTATTTCCCAGCCTTGAAAACGTAGGGCTGTACTCAGGACCCAAGCATCAGAACACCATCATTATACAAGGGATGGCCAGTGTCTGGATACACAGGACTTACTGAGAATTATGATACAGAAATAAATTTGATTTTCTAAACAGCTTAAAAAAAAAAAAAAGACCTGGATTTTTACATTTCTGACATACAATGGATTTGCAGGAATTCAAACCATGACCGATGGTTTCTCAAAACCCATTTGTTTCCATCTTTGGCCTCTGGTAAAATGAATAAAATATTCTCCCAATGAAGCCAAAGGCACAGGAAGCCACTGAAGATTTTATTCTGCACTGCGCTGGGCTCAGTGGCTTTTGGAAACATGCACCACATACGAAGATACAAGGTGAGACCCTTCGGTGACTCGATGCTGCCAGAGGCGGCCAGGCCGGAAGTGCTGAACCTAAGGAGCACAGAACACGCCAGGAGGACCCAATCCCGCCACGAGCCTCCTTCCCTCTCCATGGAGCAAAAGAGTTGCGCCTGACTGAAAGTGGTGAGTGTCAGGAAAGACTGCCATGTTGCTTCTCCGGGAGGATATTAGAGACAAACTGTAGGTCAGAAGGACAGAATACACATTGCCGAAATAAAACAAATCAACCTTGGCTTCGTCTCTGGCAGACGTAGAAGGGCCTCCTCCGAGGCCCAACAGCTCATTCACTAAATGAACGAACCAGAAGCCAACGACCTACTTACAAACCTGCTTAAAACTAGTAAGATTCTTTCCGCAGGCCCCCAGTTTTTAAGAATACCAATGTCGGGACAGATAAATGTTGGAGACTCACTCTGGGAAGCATAAAGCCCCTCTGCGGCTCTGTCTTCGTGCCCGTCGTAGTCCCTGCTGGACAGTTGCCTGTTGGCGGTCTCCAGTCGATCTGCGTGCAAAGAGGAAATGGTCACAAAGAAATGCATATGGATCTAAGACACCATCCAAACAAGAAACGACGTGGGTGCCAGGAGCTGGGTATGCAGAGATGCTCAGGCAGGGGCCCCAAAGTGAGTAACTCTTGGGGAGGGGCAGTGTGCTCCCAAACACCCAAAGGAAAGTCTCCAGAGGGCACGCTGTGTGCCTTCATGCCATCTGATGTCAGGGTAGGCAGCGGCGCGAGGCAGCCGAGCACAGGTTCTGAGAACTGCATCACTCATCACTGCCTGCAAGGCCGGCAAACCTCTGTTTTGAAGCCCCTGAAAAGGGGTTAAGTCTCCTTGGCCTCCAACCCAGCCCTAGTTCTATCCCTCACCACCAGCCCTGTGGTTAGCCAGGGACAGCTGCCCGTAGCTGGGAAGCAAAAAATAGAAATAACAATTCAAGAAATACCAAACTTTTTTTAAAAAGTCAAAATGACCTAATGGATAAAGAGTCTACCTACGGAGTTCCATGTCTGCTCAAACTGCTTGGTTAAGTCTTCACTTTCTCAGTGAAATAACTCAGAAGAAGTCTTTGTTGGACGTGCACGAGTCCCAAGACAAAAGGATTTGCAGGAATAGGAAAGGGAGGCTCTAGGTCCTGGAGACCGCCATCAGGACATTATTTGGCAGACGAGGCAACTGAAAAATGGCTTAGTTGACTGAAAGACAAGGAAAATTTTAGGGGTTGAATCATTCTGCGTGTTGGAGACTGCCAAGATCCCGCTGCAGGTGGCTTCCAGCTTTCGGGGAGTTTATATATATCTACATTTATCACAACGGTGGGCTTTTTTTTTTTCCCTCCAAGAGGGATGCTGTCTAGCTCCATCTTCTCTACTATATGTAGCGAGTGCGGAGCGGTGGCTTTCAAAGAATGCCACCCAATGACTCAGCCCGATGTGGGAAGGGTTGTGCATCCAAACATTCGCCTTTGCGTAGTCACAAATCACTGAGTACTTGTATTTTATTATTTTTTTTAAATTTTGAAGTGATGTTTTTATTTTTATCTTACTGAATAAATTTGCCATGGACTAGCAAGTACTTTTAAAGCGGAGAAGGAGCTGCACACACACTCCCTCCCTTTCATGGGCTCGTGCACGGAGGCCGCCATTTCTCAGACCCAGTGCTGCAACCCACAGCCCACAACCTACAAAGGAGAAAGGAACAATCCTGCTCTTTGAGTGCCCCTGCCCCGGGTGGTTGGACTTTCCAGGACCATCGGACAGTGTGGACCTGAGGCCAGGCAGCCCGCTACAAGGGAGTCTAGGGCAGAGAGTGTGTGGGTGGGGCTGGACATGCCTCGCAGGTCTCTGTTGAAATCATGAAGTCTTCGGATCTCGCCTTCCAGTTTGTTTCGCATCGCCTTGTCCAGCGATTCTCGCTTGGTAGTAGACTTGACCAGGCTCTCATAGGCTTCTGAAATCCTCTGAAGCTCTTTTTCAAACTGAAAGAAAGAAGTGGCATGAAAGTCGGATTCCTGGCATGCCCACGGGTGCCTCTGTGACACTCATTCTTCAGCATTCCGAGCGTGAAGGCTCTGTCTTGGGTGCAGTCTGTCTGCCCCTCCAGTCGCACACCTCCCCAAATGCGTAATCGGTTCCACTCCCCCTGTGCCTTCTAAGGGCCATGTTAGGACCCTGTAAACAGCAGGTTCACAAGGCTGGCTGGACTGCCTAATGTCACCTTGTAGAAGTTTCTCGGTACACTTACCAGGAAGGGGTGAATGTAAACATAACTTCAACCTCCTATATTTTGTGTGGCAATTTGCAACTATTTTTCTTCTTCTCACTTTAGGTAAGGGAAAAGTATTCAGGTACAGAAAAACTAAAGGGCCACAGCTAGAAGCCACATTTCCAGGCTACAAGTGCAGTGGTCTTCCAGAGCCCCTCCTACCCGGCCCCAAAGGAACATCAAATCCACGCAAGGAGAGGGATCATTACTCAGCATGTTGACCCCTTTGTCTGTGAACTTACCCGCATAAGGACAAAGGACTCAGATCTAATCATATACAAATGCACCACAGGAAACCTCTTTATGTGAAGGAATTGAAAGATATGGGGTTAAAACCATTCTTTTTCCATTTTTCAAGAAGTCAAGAGGTGTGCCTTTAATCTCGGGCGCAGGTAAATCTATAACAAGGAGCCGTACCTGCTCTAACAGGAGTCTCCTCTAACAGCATGCTTTCCAGGTAGGTGTCAACAACCCCCATTTTATTGCTGTGTAACATGCATGCAGGAGAAGGGAACACGGAACCTTGATGAACTGCTGCTCCGAGTCAGAAGAAGCAGAGGCCCAGTGGGGAGGGCTGAAGCACTAGCGCCCCTCACTGGGCACCAAGAGACCTGCATTGTGTTTTCGGTCCCTTCACACGAGACCTGTGTCACCATGAGCCAGGCACCCTAACTGCCGGTACCTCAGCTGCTCCGATCAGAAAGTCCCTGCTGGGACCCCTGTAAATAATGCACGTCCTGACATAACATATCTCTCGCACATTTTCGATGTGTCCTTGTGCCAAGGATACAGAAATTAGTAAGATAATTCCCGGTCTTTGGGAGCTCAGTCTAGTGTCGGCCTCTCCCCAGGCACGTGCACTTCTCCAACGCAATGGGAACCGGGGGGGGGGGGGGGGGGGGGGGGGGGGGGGGGGGGGGGAGAGGGTGGTTCTGTAATGCTCTGACAGCCTAGCGATAAAGTCATTAATTCTGCAGGGGTGAGAAATGGTTTCTTTAAAAAAGATATCAGGGAAAATGCCACTTAAAATGAGTCTTGAAGGATGCACAGAGTTTGCCCAAGCAGAAAAGGCCAAATGGCTTTGGCGTTGTGGTCAGAAGACAGGGCGTGAGCCACAGCACAGGGCCACAAGAGAAAGTGCATGTCTCTGACATGACAGGTAGTCCAGGGATGAGAGCCAGACATGAGGGCGGGAGCTAGTCCCGAAGGAAGGACTTCAGGGGTGAGGGGGAATTACAGGGGTAAGGAGGGTTGGGGAACGGAGGGGTATCTAAGCAGCTGGGCAGCATGACCTTATCTGAGAATTTATAGAGATACAAAAGGGAGAGGGGGTGGGGGGACGTAGGGGGTGGGGGAGAGTGTAGGGAGAGGAAACAGGAGAAAACAAGTCCAGGTAAGAAGCTAACGTAAATAGTTCAATGACAGATGACAAGGGTAGGGCACTATGACAACTGAAAAGACAAATTCCAATGACACTGAGGAGTGGAGTCTACAGGGCACAGGGAGTGGTCGGGATGGCAAAGGAGAAGGAAATCAAAGACAACGTAGACATTCGGATCTGGGAAGACAGAGTAGTAAGACTTAACCAAAGTAAGTGATTCTGAGAGAAACGGGCTTAGCAAAGCCAAGGAAAGCGGCCTGGTTTGGGAGGCACCGACCTCCCTGCAGAACAGCAGGCAAGGATTTCCAGGTAGCAGGTAGAGATGCAGGTCTGGGAGCCCGGAGAGCGGCTCGCTCGCTGGGTCCCGATGACAGCTGATGTCATACAGCGGGGACGACTTAGGGAGATTGACAGAAGACGACAGGGCCAAGGAGGGGGCGTCAACCCTGTGCAGTACGTGGGGCAGAGGAGCCACTGGACAAGAATGAAGCTGGGGGTGCCACAATCTTGCGAAGAGAGAACGTGGTCGGTGCCCCAGAGGTTACAATGGAGCCGAGAAGACACGTCCGACAAGAGGCCAGTGAAGAGGTGTGGAGAGCATCAGGGCTTCTGTGGGATGGAGGAGCCAAATGCCAAGGCCCCTCTGGGCACCGTGTTATTCTCCCAAAGGCCTCCGGCTACCAGAGTCGATTCTCTCAGAGTCCCCTCATTTCAATAGGCCTTTCTGTTTCTTCCCAAGATCTCGTGAACTGTTGGGAATATGGCAGCCAGAGAAGGGCACATCCTGACTCCAGTTCCTAGCCCTCCCCCAAATTATGTTCCTTCCTTTTAATTTTGTTTGCAAAAGAGTCGGCTTTGAAACATATCACCATTTCTATGCTAATTTCATCTATAAAAGATGGCCTTTGTTTTCAGACAGATGGGCATGCCTCAGGGACTGTCCCCTTGAGGGCCAGAGGGCATCATCTAGTGCTGGGAAGCCTAGGGCAGCATAGACCCTGAGGGAGGCATCCCCCCTGAGGTGCTCAGTGCTTCAAGTCCAGGACAACGAAGAAGTCAAGCCAGAAACTGTCCTCAACTACACCGGCCACTGGAACTTCGCTCCAGCTGATTTCACGGACTTCCATCTGCAGGATTCATCTGACTGGAATTCGGTTGTGCACGTGTACTTTACATCCCCGATTTGACTGTCAGCTCCTCGAGTGCAGAAAATAAGCCCTTACCGCCCTAAAACTCTGCCCTGCCCACGACAAAAATACAGACTGATCCATGAATCTTTAAATGTTGTAAGTTCCCAAAGACAGACTTGGGCACTGATGAACCATACCCGATCGTGGATTCTTTCCTTTCACTGAAAGAGCTGCCCTCTGCATACTTATAAAAGGAAACTAACTGTAGGATCCCTGTGACAGCGTGGTTTGCTACCTTAAATACTAAAACAGTGAAGAACTGGGATACGGTTAACTTGACTATAGCTACCAAGTGAGAAAGGGTAAGGGTTTCAGTTCAGTACAAGGTATTTCCTGATGGAGACGTTAGTCTCCTTCAGTGTGGTGAGGGAGGACAGAGCTATGACTCAATGCAGGAAGTTCAAGAGACGCAGCTTTTGATTCCACGTAAGGGATTATTTCCTAACTACGTTTTCCAGAAGGACGCCCGGTAGGGAGCTTCTCTCCTCTGTAGGCATTCAAGTAAAAAATGAGAGCTGTCCTTTCAGGCACATGAAGCAAGGATTCCTCAAGAGTGGGAAGCTAGACTAGAATCATGTTAAGAATTTTAAGTCTAAGGCTCTATGACTTGACTGCACACTCCTTCAGAACGGGAATCCCATACCCACCGCGTCCAGAACATCTGAATCCCCCTGATAGTTGTTAAAGATAAAGGGAAGGTTGGACAGGCTATGCAAACACCTGGGCTAGTGATGGTCCGAGTACGATCCTCTGAACACAGCCCTGGGTTTGCCTTCACGGCGCCTATTCTCCCTTCCAGCTGGATGTCAGGAAGCCCTTAGGCCAAGCCGCAGAGCCCCTGAAAGCACACAGAGAGACGCTTGCCCCAGGAACAGAACTATGGGCAGAGTGAGAAGCCCGGAGAAAATCTCAGCCACTCCAAGCTCTAGATACTGGTGTTTCCCTGTGCCCCTTCACGTGCACAGTCCAGAGACCCACAGGACAAAGACTGGCCTTCCGTCCAAGAGGCAGACGGCCCAGTCAAAGCCACCGCTACTGCGCTGACAAAAGAGGGTCTCCCCTAAAGCAAGCCTGGGGGAGCCATAAATACCTGGCCCTTTCCCTTCAAATGCCCATCTGTGCCCTGACGGCTTCTGAGGCCAACCCTCTCAACAGCCCACAGTCTAGTCCTGCTAGAAACCCTGTCCATTAATTAGGTTTCAGGGAAACTGGGAGGAAAGAGAAGCAAAATGAGCGACCCAGAGGAAAAACTAAAAACAGCCACTCCTTCTGGGGGTCCTCAACCATCATTCCAACACCAACAGCGATAATCACCACCTTGCGCCTCTCTGGAAACAGGGGCTTCCTATCTAGGCCGCGCTCCGGCAGGCTCTGCGTTTAGTTGTTCTTCCCTGCTGTGTTCCTGGCACGGGATGCAGAGGGTAAGCCCTGTAATTAAAAATTCATCTATTTCTGGTTTTGCCCTTACCATGAATCTCTGCGAGCGCTCTCAACGCTGTGAGGGCCCCGGGATGGATGTTCCTGTCGGCACAGGGCGCCCACAGCCTCCGGCACAGTTCGTGTCTCCACCCAAAGCTGGGTCATCCTCACTGCCAAGTGAGGTCGTCACCTCATCCGACAGTCCTCTCCCCAGGCCTGCCGACACACAGCCGAGCAGTGCGGCCGATGCGGAGGCAACACCTGGGGCAAGGCCGACCTCGGGGACACAAGCCACGAAATGTTAAGGTGCAGATTGCAGGCAGCCCTTTTGTCTCTCAGTCCCAGTTGTTGACAACAGCTGGGGAACTCGTGATGAATACGGCAAGTATCCACCAAAATCTGGGTGTTCAAACTGGCAATTCCAGTTTGACATATGGCTGATTAAGGGCACGTAATAATTATAGAACCATTTACAATATTCAAGGGACTGAAGGAGTTTTGAGTTCCAGAAAGGAAAGAGCTTTTGATTTTTCCTTTCTTGGTCATCAGAATCCTTTTGGCTGCGAAGTTTAATAATCACCCCCTGTGCAGGGAAACTGAGTCACCGGGAGATTGATTTTGTTTTTCAAAACAGAAATGTGCGCTGACATCAAGAAAGAGATGTGCGTGGGGCACCTGGGTGGCTCAGTCGGTTGAGTGTCCGACTCTTGATTTTGGCTCAGGTCATGACGCCAGGGTCATCGGATTGAGCCCTGCTGAAGGTTCTCTTTCTCTGTCTCCCTCCCTCTGCCCCTCTGCCTCTCTCTCTCTCTCTCTCTAAATCTCTAAAGTAAATTAAAAAAAAAAAAAAAAAAAAAACAACCCACAAAGATCTTCACGCGAAAAGACCCAGAACTAAACTGCCCTCAGCTGGGTCTGCGTAACTCCCGGACATGTCTGCCATACGGCTTCGTTGGGGAGAAGAATTCGTTATTTCCCAGGAGGGGCTGAGTAGCTCCTTCCCAGTGTTCGACTGCACCCGGAAGGAAGCTGCCCCAGGACGTGTCAGACACAAGTTTGGGCCTGAGCAGTGACTTACAACCAAGGCCACGAGACAGCATGCTGGTTTCCCAGCTTTTACGGTCCGAGCAGGGTGGGAGTGAGGCCGCCACCTTCAGGCAGCCCATTTGTTTTTGGCTCTCATCTTCTCCCTCCAGGAAAGGCATCCGGAGCTCTCTGGACCAAGTCTGGTCTTGACTCCAGGGAGCTCCAGACCTCTCCAGTGGAAGCTCTGCACAAACGTGCTGGGGCAGATTCTGTCTGTGAACATTTGCACCATCAAACCCACTGCTCCCCACTGGGTACCGCCAGGAAATCAGAGGCGCCCACTACTCTGAAAACCGGACCAGTGACAAAGACTCCGCCTTACCTGAGAGGTGAACGCTAAATGGGCCAACCGGGAGCATTAACTGACATGTGGAACCCAACGGCAAGGCTCCTGCAGTCAGGCAGGGTTTATATTCCTACCTTTTCTATTTATAAAAGCCCCTGATTGTCCAGGACAGAGCCAGGGACTCAGACTCTTACAAGATCACTTCTACCACACATGCCCCCTCGCCTCCAGAAAGGAAGCTAGTGCCCTGTGGCTCTGCTACCCTAAAACATCCTATCGCCCTTTGCCCCCTCACCTCTTCTGTTCTACCACAAGCATTTCTGGTGCTGACACATGGGGGTGGGCGGTCGCCATTAAATCACTGCCTACCACAGTTCATCTTGCATAAAGTCTTCCTGACTGTGGCTCTCGGAATAAAGCCCTAAGAATGAAGGCGGCCACACCCTCTAATATTCCCGCTGTCCTCCTGGGGAAATACTACCCACCTCTGAGTCCCAGGTCCAGGGCCACCCTCACTGTACCTTCTATAACCACCTGACACCCTACAGCAGGTGTTAGCTTAGGCAACCCTCCCCCTTTTGGACGGTAAGCTCCTCCAAGGCAGGGCCTGTGTCCTCTTTATTCGTCTCCCTAAAGCTTTGCACAGTGCCTGGAATACACGGGGGTCGCTGCTGGCCAGTGAGTCAAGCAGCAGGGAAACAACTCTGCCCCTTCCCCTCTCCTTCCCTCCGGAAGTCACCTACCTTATGGAGCTTGTCGGCATTGTCGTAGTAACCCTGAAGCTCCTGGTGCAGCACGCGGTTCTCCTCGGTCAGGATCTCCACCATCTGCTGGGCTCGCTCCACGATGGCGAACGCGTCCGGCCCGAGCTGCTGGCTGGGGGAGGCGGCGGGCGGGGGCTGCGGGGCCGCCAGGGTCATGGGCAGCGCGAGCGGCACGGACACGGAGTGCAGCGGCCCGCCAGCAGAGGGGTTCTGGGAGGACATCGGGCTGTGCGGCTGCACTGTCGACGGGAAAGGGAGCTGGCAGGGGCGGCTGCAAGGGAAGTGGACACTGGTCATCACACCCGAGAAACAGGGGAGCAGGGGGGCAGGGAGTCACAACAGGACGCGTCCTAGCGACTGGCCTGGGCTACCAGAGGCCATCAGCGCACATCTGGGTGCTGGCGCCAGTAGAGCAGGTTGGGTCCTTCACCCACAGGCATTTAATGGGTTCTCCCTCTAATCAGCACTGTTCTGGTCGCGGCGGATACAAGGTCCCTGCTCTCGTGAGGCTTACACGTTCGGGGACACGCTGATCGGCCAGGTATAGCAGAGTAATGTGACTGTGAGTGGCTACGTGCCTAGTTCTACAGAGGGGTCAGGGAGGGAGACGTGGGTGCTTGCGTTGAAGTCTGAATGACAGATAAGAAGGACCCTGGGGAAAGGAGGAGGAAAAGGAGTCTCCCAGGTAGGGGGATCAGCTAGGGCACGGGGCCCAGGTCAGGATTTAGCACAGGCACCAATGAGTACGAAAGAGAGCGCACACGCAAATACCGAGTAGAGTCTGCAAGTAGTGTGAGATACGACCAGAGCCATGAGCAAAGGCCTTTGTCAGCCAAGGCCAGCCCTTGGTGTAGACCGCGGCCGCAGAGGAGCTGCCCCACTGACTGGTCTGCAGATGGGATGAAGTGGCAAAATGCACGAAGGGCGCCCGCAGGGAGGCCTGAGCGTGGTCTAGATGAGACCCGCGAAGTCTCACAGGGCGGCAGCAGCAGAGAAATCATGGATGGATTGGGGATATGGCTGGATAAATCATGGACAGGGAGAGAGAAGGTGAGGAAAATTTAAAAATTACTCCTGGGGGCGCCTGGGCGGCTCAGTCGGTTAAGCATCTGGCTCTTGATTTCTGCTCAGGTCATGATCTCACAGTTCGTAGGTTCGAGCCCCGCATTGGACTCCTGGCTGACAGCATGCAGCTTGCTTGGGACTCTCTCTCTCTCTCTCTGCCTCCGCCCCTGCCCCTCTCATGCTGTCTCTCTCTCTCAACATAAATAAAGGTTAAACAACATTACTCCTAGATTTGGGGCTTTACACACATGGACAGAGGTACCATCCAGTGAAATGGACAAGTCTTGGGGAAGGGACAAATCTTTTGTTTTGATTTGCCAGGGTGAGGAGGTCTGGGGATCTTAGCCATGTAATAAAGATGGTTCCGGGGCGCCTGGGTGGCGCAGTCGGTTAAGCGTCCGACTTCAGCCAGGTCACGATCATGTCCCGTGAAGTTCGAAGGCCTGCGGGCTCTGGGCTGATGGCTCAGAGCCTGGAGCCTGTTTCTGATTCTGTGTCTCCCTCTCTCTCTGCCCCTCCCCCGTTCATGCTCTGTCTCTCTCTGTCCCAAAAATAAATAAAACGTTGGAAAAAAAAAAAAAGATGGTTCCAAGCCCAGGCACTAGCTTATCTGAAATCTTGGGCTGCCCTCTCTGACTTCACTCCCTAACAATCCCCTCCTCACTTCTCTGTTCCGTAAGAATCATCGCATTTTCTCTCAGCCTAAGCCAAGGGCTCCTACCAACAACTCACGCAGGTATTAGCACCAAAGGCAGTCATGGTGGCCAGTTCTCCAACTACGGCTGTCTCTCTTCTGCAGACTGGGGAAGACAAGTTTTCTTGTTGACCTCCCTAACCTTTAGGATTCAGTCTGGGAACTGGAGTGAGCAGAATGGTCAGCAACCCTAAACCACCCACATTCTGTATCCCAGGGCAGAGTCCTCTGGAGATCCCGCTACTTTCCAATCCTTGACACTCAGCCCCTGTCACCTCCCCTTATTCCTGGCCAGCCGGAGCCAAAGCCCCCACTTTCCCCAGGAGACTGTGTGGCCTTCTGTTTTCCTTTTAGGTATACTTGCTGGAATGTTTTTGGACCCTGTCAGGCTCCGTGCCGTTTATTTTGTAAGCGTATCGTACAGTCAGGAGCCCTCTGAATGCCGACTCCTGGCACCTAAATGTCAAACTCTAGAAGAAAATTTGAGAAGGGCCACCTTAGCCCTCCCTGCACAGATATGCAGACGTTCGTAAAGATGACCTCAGAAGAAATGCAGGAGAGCCCGACAACGTGACCTATCACAGGCCTCGCTCTGGTAACAAACACCAGAGCCTCGCACCTAGGCTCGGGAGGGATTGCCCAACTAGGTTTCCTTAGGCCTTCAGTCAGGGAGCCCCTTCCATTTCCTGTTGAAATGGCTGGGATCTGAGTTCTGCAACGCCTGGTGGAGAACGATGGAGCTCAGTTGGGTTCTTTATTCCTTAAGCGGGCTCCACCTTCCAGCCATCCTCGGAGTTCAGAAGGAGTGTTGTCACGGG